GAGAGCGCGAAACGGCTGCAATCCTTTGTGATTAATCTAATTATAATTTTGTTAACAAACCGAACCTTAATAGAAAAGAAATTAAAGGCATCTTAATGGAATATCTCGAGTGATGTTTCTTCTACATTAGATTAATGCCAATCGACAGGTTGCTGGTTACCACAAACGTTCAGTTTGTAAATAAAATCGGCCTCTCTCTCTCTCTCTCTCTCTCTCTCTCTCTCTCTCTCTCTCTCTCTCTCTCTCTCTCTCTCTCTCTCTCTCTCTCTCTTTAGTAAATTTATGACACATTTATGGCGCAAGTTCATTGTCCATAGCATGACATCACAATCGATTTCTGACCGGCGAAGCTAATAGAAAACAGCCGGAATATGTGATAAATCCAAATACAAATCATCATATTTTATTATATAGATGAAGTTTAATTTACAGTTTCTGTTACTGTCTGTGAAGGTGTATCAAATAGGTAAGATTTTAAAGGTGAAAAGATGATTTTCTTTGTCATGTCCTAAATGTGAAATGTATGGAGGTAACGATGATGATCTGGTTGTGACAGTCTTTCTTTGTTATTATTTCTAATTCAGATATTGATCCCGTCGATAACTAAATGTTGATTTGTCACGCAGTATTGCTTTCTCATACTGCATGCTCTGTGTGTCTTGACATTTGAATGTCAGTGGTGTACAGATATCTGCTCAGCTGTTTTACTGTCCTTATACAACAGTGCAGACAAGGTCTGAATTGTGAATCAAATACAAACTATCAGACAGAAAGAAAATCGATCCCCAACTCACAGGTACATGGATATACATGTCGAAAGGTTTGGGCGGTATGAAATGCTTATATAAACACTAAGTCATACTTCATTTTATTTTGACATTGAACATGAATGGCTGCCTCAGTCGCAGTGTGTGGCCATTCTAAAAATTTGATATGTTTAAGACCAATTTACTCACCCAAGGCTTTTCAATAAGACTTTATGTCATGTGTATATAATGTAGCTTTGGTTTTTACTTAAGCGTAAAGATTGTTATGTAGTCAATGTCAGAGGGTAAGAACGTAGCATCCCCGGATCAGCAGGCACAGTGTGATACTATGTTACATCAAACACTGCTCCTGTACATGTGTAAGCGTAAGAGAAACTATGAGCATATCTGATTGTTATCGAAATATCTCGACACGGAAATATTAGATGGTAACGTTTTGAAGAATATCAAACCATTTAACAAATCCAGTTTAACACGTAGGTGAACACATTTGTTCGTGTTTTACTACCGCTTATAGAATCTCCTTGGGATAAATAAGTCGTGACATTTAACATTAAACACACGAACCACTTAAGTGAAATATTCTTATGTTTTACTGAGAGCAGGTGTTCTGATGATACATATGATAACAGTTTCAGTTCACTCTTTTAAATAAAAAGTCCATCTTTATTGATGATGTTTCCAGTATTGTAACATTGAAATACTATATTTCAAACATCTCACAAAACTCCTAGTAATGCGTCTTATTGTCTTATATTTCACTAAAACAGCTTTGTATATATAACATATTGAAGGTGTCAGAGTTTACTGAAGCTGTAATCTATGCAGTTGACGATTTCAGTTTCCACATTTTCATTTCCCCGATAGTTACATCCTCCATTCCCAAACTACAGTGTTAAATGTCCGAATGGACTAGGTATTCCAGGGCATGTTCCCAATACCGCAACTTATGACAGGAAGCGATTGTTTACAGAAACAATTTAATTGAGAAATACATTTATTTTGTATGATATCAAGTTTGTTGCTGCCATTCCTCTCACTTTGAAAACGTGGCATTTCTTAGACTTGACCAAGTTAAACAAGATAGATGTTGACGGTAAATAAGAAGATGCATGGATCTTCCCAAACGCTAACTTTGATTCTTGGATACCTTTTGCATTATAACTTCCATGGTTGTTGAGATGCAGTTATCTAACGTTCTAATTGTTTTTGTCTTTTACATATATGATAATGTACTTACACCCACGATTCATCAAAATTATGTCTCTGTTGACGACAAAAAAACAATTTTTTGTGTTTACACATTTTGTTTCTGTTGTCAATGTTATAAATGAATGATATGTAATAATTCCACAGTAAAACACTGTAACTTCATATTTATGGTAGATTGATATCATGACAACGATTTGTATGTCACGATGTCGTTGTTATGTGTAATGCTACAAGTTGTACAAATCGTTATGAAGGAAATATAGAAGGAAGGGAGGTAGCTTATTATGTATCTGTTGTCTGTGCCCTAGTCCCTAGGCGACCAAAGATATGCTTTCTCCATATTAATCAGGCGTCCGTCATTCCTAGAGCGCTAAAAGCGACATAAATTCAATTATTCCGTGTACTTGATGTGTAATAGGGAAGTGCTGATACACATTAAAGTTTTATAGGAAAACTATTACGATGCCGGACTCCCTCGTGACGGGATTCCGTGCAATCAATAGAGGCAGAATACTCTACCAGCTCTAGGGTAAACCTGAATTGTCTCGCTCTTCTCCCATATCAGAAAACCTTTTGTATTTCTCATTAGCATTTCATGTTTTTATCTTAAAGGTGTCTTTATGCACAGCGGAATTATATGTATCTTTTGCAGGGAGATGTGGTATTTAAAATCATATCAAATTCTGTGTTTGGTGCGAGTGTAAATGTGTCAGTGTCTACCGATAGCTATCCACCTACCATTAAGCCGTGTAACCGGACGAATGCTCTTGTTTTGTAGTCAGCTATCACCTATTCATTACAAAAAAAAAAAAAAATGAATTATGACGTGTCAATGTATACGTAGAGATAAGCTATATTCACCTGTGCAGTTGTTGCGTGGATCTTTTATCACAATAATGAGGTATGTTTAGGGCGTTACACAGTCTGCTTCGAGTTTTCCCACCTGCCTACGCGACAGGGTAATTTGCTAACAATGTGCACACTTAACGAAATGACATGATATTACACATATGTAGGACCTGTGAATTTATGTTCATACCCACTTAGTATATTCATTCTTATACAATCAAGTAATTCTTGTGTCCGTTAACACCTGCGTTTGACGTAACGGAGTCTCGGTCACAAACAAGCACATATGATATGAGCTACACTTCGTATGGGCTACAGTAAGTCGTCAACAAAGAAGTTTTATCCTTGCGACAACATACTGAATTTGTCACATTTGAAATATAAGCATGACCAGGGCGTTTTCTGCGTTATCACACGTAAGAAGGTCATTGTATACTAAATATAAAATAAAAACCACAAAACCGATTAGTTAGTGTGCATATAAACATCACGACAACATTTTTATCATTGTGACTTTCAGACATTCTATATACCATTACCTTTATGTGAATTGTCCATTTCTAAATAACCATATACTTGCTTCCCAACAGCAATCGCTGTTGATTCGATATTCTGAGGCCTGTTCGCAATATTGCAATTTTCGTGCAAGATGTCGGCAACAAACAAATCACAACACGGGACTTCAAGAGATGCATATCATGAAGACGTTTTATGATCGTCATAATGATCTTTTTGAACATTATTTTTCTTTTTGTGATTAAAGACGTTTTTAATGCTTCTTAGTATGCCTGGAGATTCGGTTGTTGTTCGCCTTTCTCTCATTTGGGAACGTGGCATTACTTACTAGGATTGTCAAAGATTAACATTGCATATGTTGTCGATGAAGCAGAAGATGCTTACCATTTCAGAAAACCTGGTTTTATTATCCTTGTACGTGTTCTCAATTTCTTGTTTCATCGAACTGTTATGATGTCTGTATTGTTATGTTTACATGTAATATTGAATGCACTTTATGATACGTTATGATGAGCCTATATTAACAGGTTTATGGCTGATACCGCTTTTCATATCTGATGACAAAGAGTCTGGAAACAGCAATAATTTGATGAATATGCTTCATGATTTCGTTCACTTGCAAACTCGAAAAGAAGACACGACTTTTATCCCTCAGTAGTAAATAAACACAGGTTTAAGCTACACGCCTATTTTCAGAATTGGCTTATTTCTGAGACTGGCTCAAGTTTTTATAGTAAACTGTATCATATTCTGATATTGTATTAAAAGGTGGTATTAACACGTATGTCCCCTGTACAAACGTCTATTACTATCACCCTATCAACCCCTTCGAATTATTTACTTTAACGCAAAACATTCAAAAGTAAATACTGTTTTGCATGTTATACATGGTATGTGATATTAATATTGGTGAAACTACATATTGACAGTTTGACAGTTAATAATTGAAGAGTGTGCCACAAGCTATGGGTTGCAGGAAACAGTTCATTTGCATTTTTCTTGAAATTATTGGTCATGTTTGAGATATACAGGTATAGCAATTTGGTTATGAAAAATACATCATTACATGCATATATATTTTTAAACTACATAACAATTACATTAATAGTAGAGAGATAAATTAATGCAAATAAAAAATTTCGTCTGATTTCTGACATGTGATTGCCATGGTTACCTATTGAAAAAAAACTGAAAATGCAAAAATACTGCTAATTACAACCTTATACTACAACTTTATAGAAAAAATTTATTTCTAAACACCTATCTTAAAATCAACAACACTGTCATGGTAACAAAGTACTTACATTTCAGCAAATTCCAACTTGGAAATTCTGCGTAACATGACCACACATAAACACTATGTAATTTTCACTTCCTGTAAAGCTGTTTTTTTGGTGTGTAGACACAAATTCGAGGCTGCCCAAATAATAATCTCCAACACAAAGCTAAAATATTATTCTGAAAAAAATGAAACCCCAAATTGTTCACTTCAACATGACAAGACCAATTTTAGCAAGGATTTATTTTTCTAATTTTGATTAAAACCTTTATAATGGGGTAATCTAATGAACAAAAATATCATCCATGGCCACACCGAGAAACTGTGTACTACTACCATGGGATACACCACGCTAACTAATTCTTTATACTTTCCAGAAACGGCGGACTGTCGGTCTTGTAACTCCGATAACATTATTGAAGTACAAAAGAAATGCCTTGACATTATCGTCAAGCTTGAGGAGGCTATCGACGTATTCGACAATGTGACAGGAGTTTGCAAGTATGTAGTGAGATACTATATATATTTTTAACATCGTTAAATATTTCCAGACGAAAACAGATCAGATGCAACGATTGTATATGTCGTGTTATTTTCATGAACTATTTTCTGTTGGCATACATTACATAATATAAGTCATAAGTCACAATAATGAAGATTCAGTATATATATTATATATGTTTGCTGCATTGTGTGTATAGGTTAGACCTCTCTTCTTTAATATGCATATGAAAAACATATCTGTAGAGGCGCTGACTGTTTGATATGAAGTAACGCCCTTTGTAGAGACGTTGACGATTTGATATAAAGTAATGCCCTCTGTAGAGACGTTGACGATTTGATATAAAGTAATGCCCTCTGTAGAGACGATGACGATTTGATATAAAGTAATGCCCTCTGTAGAGACGTTGACGATTTGATATATAGTAATGCCCTTTGTAGAGACGTTGACGATTTGATATAAAGTAATGCCCTCTGTAGAGACGATGACGATTTGATATAAAGTAATGCCCTCTGTAGAGACGTTGACGATTTGATATAAAGTAATGCCCTCTGTAGAGACGTTGACGATTTGATATATAGTAATGCCCTCTGTAGAGACTTTGACGGTTTTATATAAAGTAACGCCCTTTGTAGAGACGTAGACAGTTTGCTATGAAGTAACGCCCTCTGTAAAGACGCTGAATGTTTTATGTCAAGTAATGCCCTCTGTAGAGACGTAGGCGGTTTAATATAAAGCGATGTCCTCTAAAGAGGTGCTGACGGTTTGATTTAAAGTAACGCTCTTTGTAGAGATGTTGACAGTTTAAAATGAAGTAAGGCAATATGTAGAGACGTTGACGGTCGTATCACAAGTAATGCCCTCTGTAGAGGAACGTTGCCGAATTTGTTTAAAGAAACGAACCTTCAGAGAAATTTTCGGTTTAATATGAAGTATCACCCTATGTATAAACGTAGACGATATGGAATGCAGTAAGGCTTTCTGTAGAGACGATGCCTGTTTAGTTTTAAGAAACGCCGTCTTTAAAAGCGTTGACAGGGTTGTTTGACGTAAATCACACTGAAAAGACGTTTGTGATTTCGTATGACATCCCGAATCTATAGAGACATTGATGATTTGGTATGAAATTAGACCCTATGTAGTGGCTTTTACTGTTCAGTACGATGCAATGCTCACTGTTTGGACGATGACAGTTAAATTTGAAATAGAGATATTACAGGTTTGGTATTCTCTATGTTTTACAGGTCGTTGATACAGATGTATTACTGTGTTGGGGAACTAGTGCCCCAATGTATTATCAATTTCACTGCCTCCTACAGGGCTTTCTATCAGTCACCACATGACTGTCACATCACCTCGAAGGAAATGGCTAAACTTCAACAGTACAGACTCAACGCCAATTGTAATGTATCTGGTGTCTTGTCATCTCTTCCGTCACACACAACAGCTGATATGACGTCGCAAGGTGTGGAATTGTCTACGTCTTCCACTTCTAGCAGAAAAGATACAAATTCTGCACCTCGAACACAGACAGGTATTCAACAACTGTAACATTTTCAAAGAATATAAATGAATTTCTAAATTACATTATCTATTTATACACATCATTTTGCATTTTCAGTTAGAGCTTAATTGCAGAGAGCGATAGTCGTTTTAATTCATAACCCCCTTTCACAACTTACTCCTTTATAATGTTTAACACGCGTGAACAACAGGAGTGTAATAATTTTACCATACAAAAAGGAAACTATAAGACAAGTGACATTAAACACAAGGAAAAGTTCATTTTCTATATCGAAGCTAATACTGGCGCAGCGTTACCTGCTACATTAAACTTCTCACACATAGTGGCAACTGTTCAAAAGATAAGTATGTGCTTAATTTTCTTTCGAAAAGCAATTAAAGTAACATTTTTGGGTTATGGATTGAAGATTTATACCAAGGTAAAACAGATGTATGGTGTAGGTTTGTTGATTAGTTTGAAAATGTTGTGTGCATTGGTTAATTCAATTTGTACGGAAGAGTGCTTTTTTGACCTGTGTCCTTGTAAAATGTTGAAAATTTTCAGTATCTAGATCATTCATTGGAACTGCCATTTTCATTACAGGTGGAAGCGCTCTGGCGTTGGCACTGATTGTAATAGCGACTATTCGGACACTCTTCGTCTCTGCGTTGACATGATGTGTAGTGGATCACAGATTTCCAGTACTGTTTTACGAATATGAGTGTCGATCAGTGTCAAATGTGTTGAAAATGTGATAATTCGCGCGGGTATGACTCGTTCAACCTATAAGAGTGTAGCGGTTTGCTACAAGAAGTACAGTTTATTAGTTAATGGGAACAGATGAGAACTACTGAGGTCCAAAAATAATTTCTAACTTTATAATCACACCCAAAACACAATAGTAGTTTAAACTTTCTTTACATAGTGGTGTTCATGTGTACGATAGTAACTGATTAGTTGTCCTGATATTTTACCTGTTTTATTTGCTAACCTTGATAACTGTTTATGCATTGTGAACTCCCTGATATACTAGTTATTACGAATGATATCAATATAACATTACAGGTGGCCAATTCAATTCAATACAAAAGTGCTTAGTAAGCCAACTTTATCACATTATAAGATAGTTGACGAAGAGCTTATGCTTAATAAGTCTATATAACTGGTTATTAACGTTTCGAGCAAATTATCATGGAAAATGTTTTAACTTACACATGATATGGGTTTTAATGTTGATTATAAATCAGCCCAGACATAGCTCAGTTCCGAAAATTGAATATTGCAAAGGCTACAATTACGACAGGCAATTATACCCGATTTTGATGTGTGTTTTTGTACTAGTCTTATTCATGTATTTGTATACATAATTAGACAATTTGCCGCTATTATCATGTCGATAATTTCCAGTTTTTTTATCATTACAACTTCCAAATATCATTTTTTTGGTTGTTATGATGGCTAAATGGTTAGGCAGTATTTCTTGGCTAGGCAATTTGTTGCCGTAGATTGTGGGTTCAACGCCTCTATTGTTATGGGTCACGGTGCAAAAGTAAGTATACATATCAGAAACAAAATCTAAATTTAAAGTATATCGATAATCTGTTTTATCTGAATTTGGTATGCCAATACAATGTTTTTTCAAACGTTATCATCAATGTTTTCGTTTTTCAGTTGGTATGTTTTAAATATATTATCCTCAACTACAATGTGTACATACTTTTGCACTTAAGTATACTACCAATTTGTTGGAGCTATTTCAGCTTAAGAAATAAGTGTGTTATGCAGTCAACATTTTGTAGTACAATGACCTTATTTTTTAGTTTCTTCCTTCTCTAAGGTTTTCTGTAGATATATATTTATGCTGTTAAAATGCTTTTGTAGAGTGATTCCAACAGCTTGAAATGAAGAGTGTTGTATATCTTATTGTTTTGCATATCTATACTACAAACTGTTAATTTTGATTTTCTTATGTTTTTTATATATAAATGATTTATCAGTCGTTTTTATTTGTGATCAGTTAACAAGCACTGGTTTTATATGAAACAATTGATTTTCCTTTTTCTTCCAGAGTAAATAGAAATCCAAAAAATCATAAAAGTGTAACTGAGCATGGTGATGATGTTCTATTTGAACTAAATGGATTTGACATAAACCACGCCTTATGAGTCGAAAGATTAAGAAAATATCCCTTTTAGATATAATTTCTTGAACACAGAGAAATTAAATGAATGAACGATTGGTTAAAAGAGAATCATACACACTGTTTCAACAGATGACGTTTTCTTTATTTAATTATATTATTGCTGATTTCCTAATTAAAAGACATTGAAAACTGACCAACCAAAAAAAAGTGGACCGAAAGAAAAAAAAAACAAAAGCAAAGGAGTATAAATCCCTGAGATAATTGTGACAGTAGGACACAAAATTGGTACAATAAATTACAGAACATAATAACGTTCATCATATAATTCGATTGCTGACGTCACTTTGGAATGAATTTCAAGGATGATTTTGCGGCAATGTGCCAAAGAAAATGGAGAAAATAGTTTACGACAACTTGATCTAATATTTAAGATTTTGTTTTGGTGGACTTGTACCGTGTACAAATTGCTTACAAATTAATTTATTAAACTCAAATTGACACAGATATTTAGTAGGCTTGTAGTTAATCGCTCCAGGTTCTGCTGCAATCAGCATTGTATGTATAAATAGGTATTGTTGGTGGTTTTTCTAAAGTCATACTTTTTGTTTTAGCTGTATATTTGTATCTTGTTATCTGTTCTTACATTCCATTTCTGTTGGTTACTGTATCGTGTATATTGGTGTACTTAATGACTCGTCGTGCATGTGTACACGTTCATATCCATATCAATTTGCTATGTTCAAGCTAAGGCTTTTACGTCTATTACATGAAACATGTCATATTATGTCATTTTATTTCTGTTACGTGTTTCGTATACAAAACACAAACGTGAATGTGAAAAGTTTTAAGTTGCAGTGTGCATTATTTTCATTATAGATAGACCTATAATGCTAATTATGATGCAACAGACTTTTTTATAGAAAACAAAACACACCTGTTATTGATGAATAAACCATTTATGTTTCTGGCACACTTTCCCTGTCGAAATTTCTTTGAGGCACACTCCAGTCAATGAAGTCTGCATTAAAACTGAGTGTTAACATATCGATATAATTACTCTGACATGTAGATGTGATAGTGATTCCTTTGATTAGTCTGTGGTTTGAGTTTTAACGCCCTTAAAAATTGTACCGTTGTAACACTTCATCTAGCATTCTACCAAACACATCAGCAATAACATAATTAGTTACCTACCGTATTATAACACCTCGCCTACCAGTTAAACTATAATTGCCTAAACGTTTAGACTACATGCTGGGTTTATGTTTTCCCTTCGAGAGAGGGTAAACGATTCCATTTGTAAGAATTTATCGTAATAGAAATTGGTAGATATGCGTTAACCCTGCCCTTGCCTTCTGTGAAGGATGATCTAGACGAAGCTCCAGGAGTTAACGTCCATTACTGATCTATAAGACCTATTAACATCAAAGAATACACAGCTGCTTCCAAATATTATGCTATAACCTCAATGTTTATAGTTTTGAAATCGCTCTAGTTTGAGTAGGCATGAGGTGATGTCGGAATGCTGTACTTTAACACTATAGTCGGGTCCTATGAAATATGATAATAAATGATATATTTTTTGTATTAATGGGATCTTGGGGTTTTAGTCAACTTGTCAAAATTACATCCCAACTCTACCTCTTTACATTGCAAGATTTAATCCACATGTGGGGGACTTCAGTAAGTTGTTTGTAACACTACACATTTGTGATTAATAATCACACGGAGATGTTCATCATTTCATTACTTGTTTCGTTATCCCTATATACGTTTAGACATAAAAGATACAAAAAACACTACAATAAAATGACTGCGATATGTAAGTCCATCGCTCATGTTACTTCTATTGGTGAGAATTTCCCTCCGATACATTCATCCTCCCTCATGACACCTGAACGTTACACGTGTGTTAAACATTCCAGGAAATATTTCTGTCTTCTTTGTCTGTGTTGCTGTTGCTATTTAAAGTATCACTGCTTTCGTTTAAATTCCAAAATTAGTGCAAATAACATAAACTTGAAATTTCAGAAAGTTAAGGCACTGTTGCACCTTCAATACAAGTTTTCACATCGCCATTTCATTTTGCAATGTTTCTGTATTAGAATGTTTTATGTGGTGTTATTTCGTAGTCTTTCATTGAAATCCGTGTTATTCTGAAGGAGGCTGTGACCTTCACTGAAGCTAACAACATTACATCACTACTTCAATCTTTCAGTTTGTTCCGAAATAGAATTAGTAAACTCTATATTCTTTTAAAGCATCTGTATTATATCTGGTGTAGTCCTGATTTCGCATTAGATAAATGATTTTCGCAAGTTATACAAATTGTAATTACATGTACATTTTGATTTAACTGGATAGTAGGAAATATCCTCCTCTCTCTCCTCATTACCGTACCTAGCATGCTGTATAAGTGCCGGTTGCTGATAGATCTCTTTATACCATTCACTGGTATGTAAGGATACATATATTTAGATATTGTCTGATATATCTTTAATTATTCTCGCAAAAAACTGAAATCGTAAATATTTCACCTTGTTTCTTTCACACCTTTCATTTTTATTTTAGGATGAAATCCTTGTCTTCTTTGAAAAGGAACTACTTGTTATCATTTTTGACATATTCATTATTTTCTTTCCATTTGGACAACCTCATTAAAACCATCATGCCACTAAGCGAACAAATATATAAAGCGTACTATAAATCATGTTTGAAATGTGTTTTGTATGATTCACATGACTTGTATACACTTTTTTTCAATTTTTTTATGTTCCTGTGACAACTGCTACTGATATAACCCGGATGCCACGCACTCGCATCCATTACATAATGGATAACGTAATTGGTTAGTGCTTCGCCCTGGTTATAGTGTTATGTGTTTGATGTATGAGTACGCGACTGCACTGTGATGAGAGCTAAGAAAAATTAAAACTATTTTATATACATAAATCTGCCTTTTTGTCTTTTTTTCAAGTAAAATTGCATGTTGCAGAAATAAGATCAAAAACACTTTGTCTATCGATATATATGACAACATAGGTCGAATAGTTGGAAATTGATCAATGCTAAATTTCAATTTTTAAGTATTCGCTCAAAATACTCAATCAACTGAGCAATACAAATATACCTGTTTCCGATATTTATAAAGTACACTCCACTTTGCTGCTATTTGCAGTTTATAGATATCGTTTTTGAGACCTTATTATTTTTTACTTGGGTTAATGCCATAAGTAGTTCAACACAAATATCAATCAACATGTAAGAAATATCAATACCAGTTAATACAAAACAAGATTGACAATAAGTATGCATATCTGATTTAAATGCATTAAAAATATAAACAGACTTTTAAGAGATATAAATCTCCTCGTACGATCAGTTCCATAGCTTAGATTAGAAGGAATTTTAGGTAGTATAACGGCTGTAGTCGGATACAGTTTAAAACTGAATTTATTGGGTGGCAAATGTGTTTACGTGGCAGTTGTGAATCATATGGGTTGATCATTATCCACTGAAAAAACTGAGAGACAAAATTCCTGGATATATCGAGCGCTAATGTCTATATCAGCC